TCAGCAAGTGTAGAATAAATAAAATAAAATTTCGCTAACTTGAGAAATAATAGTTATAGAAAAGCAGTGAAATAGAAGCAGAGGTTAAAAAGAAATAATATTATTTTTATTGTTATTGGTTTATGATAAAAAAAAAAAAAAAAAAAACGAGAATGAAGATTTATATTCATCAAAATCGACTTATTCCTAAGAGTGAGGATCATTGATAACCACAGTGGTCTGTAGAAAAAATTTATCAAAAATTTTACAGCACTAAAAAAATTAATAAAGAATTCTGTTAATTTTAACTCGATTAAAAATATTTGATTTATTAAAATAGAAAGTTGAGTTTATTCTAAGTTATATGTGACAGATCTTCTTAAAGTTGTCACTATACTAAAAATAAACATTCCTCTAAGTCAATGTCTTACACTAACAGAGATAGATGCTTTACTTTACAAATTTCAAAGTATATACAGCAAAGTCTCCATAACTTTTCATTCTCTGACTTCAACTCCTTACTATTTTCTACTAAAGAAGACACGAAGAAAAATAAATAGACATTTTCCCAGTTGTGATATAGAGAAAATTTCTTTGTTAGCATATAAATTTTTACAACGTTAACATGTGTATTTTTCGTATAATAAAATGAGAATAATACTAATAATTTACAGGATTTCCACTTATCACATACTGAGAAAAAAATGCTTCTTTTGAAAATTAATATTATCAACCCAAGAACGTATATTTCTTGAAAATTTCCAACAATGTACTTTTTTTGTCAAATAATTGGTCAAATTGACTAAAGTAATTTTTTTTTAATTCAAGTAAAGCTATTTGATTGTTTGCTGATAATGATGAAAACAGATATTGATATTCTTTTGTCAAAAAATTAAGATATTAAATTATTCATTATTATAAAATTTTGAGTCAAGAAATCCTTAACTTGATATAACTTTTATTTTTTCTCAATGTAGGAATTTATTCTATGTTTGCACAAAAATTTTTCCTTTGTCAACGTATATTACGTCAACATATGAAGAATTTCTATGTCAACATAGAAAAATCTCCATGTGACTAAAATCTACTAAGAATTAGATATTTAATCTATGAGAGAATAACAAATTTATAAATTTTCAGTAGGCATAAAAAAAATTTCTATATTAAGATACAATTTTTCCGGTGTCGTCACACAAAAAGCACCTATATCAAAATAGCAAAAATTCGTATGTTAACATGAAAATTTTTCTGTTGCCGTAGAAATTATTCCTATACTAACGCCAGAACTTTTTCAAAGCTGCATAATTATTTTGGCATTGAAATAGTCAAAATAAGTATATTTTAATACAATCGAATCCATCTAAAGGTGATCTCGTACACGGTGAGAAATTTCCAATGAATTTTACTATGGGCGCATAGTAACACTAAACTATAAGAAAACTGGTACAAAATTTACAAGATCCCATAGTAAACGGTATGCACAGACTACACAATCATCCATGCGCCCATAGTAAAATTCATTGGAAATTTCTCATCGTGTAGGAAAATATTCGCGCACTTTTAACAAATGTATCCTGTAACTCTTAGAGAGGGAGTCCCTTGAAAGGGAGTTGACCATGAAATAATTTTCATGATAATATGAAATATTTTATTTTATCACATGGATATAATTTCGATATTGACACATAACAACAGTAAAATTTGCTTTGTCAACATAAGCTTTACTACCGTATATTCTCTAACTCAAATTCCTGGAATTTAAAACACGTCCCAGTAAAAGTTAAAGAGATTTCACCGTACATTTAATAACCACTAATACTTTTAAAATCATTAAATTATTATAACTCACTTACTAGATTGACAATTTTCGTCAAATTAAAAATAATTTTATTTAAAAATGATTTTAAATTTTCGACAGAACTTTGTTGTGAAGACTTGGACTTTTTTATAAGTTAAATATTAAACACCAATAAAATTCTTTATACGATGATAAACATTAAAAATCGAAACTTGACCACTCTATTATCTATGATCCTCATTCGTAACTTTATAAAGGTATTAGTAACATAAAATAAATAAAGATTTTAAATCAATCACTATCTGTAGAAGTAAAAAAAAAGATTTATCGAAACTAAAAGGTATTAAAGGTTATAGGGAGAATAAAAAAGAAATTTATAAACGTTAAATTATTCGGAGCTAATTTAATAACAGGGTGTTAATTATTAATTGCATTATTTTTAGATAAAAGGCTTGTGTCCACATTCAGGTGGATGTTTATTTATTTTTGGGATACCTGCGTCCACGCTCGCGCTTGTACTGGCCACCGTACTTGCAGCGGTTCGCCGCGAGCTCCGTGATCTCAGGGATCCAGCTGGCAAACACCGCCTACACCCACAATAATCCGTTGCCGTAAGATTTCAAAAAAACCTAACTACAGTATGTTTTTTATTATGGTTTTGCATACTATCCAAGCTCATTTTGCTTTTATTTATTTTTTATCTTCTATTCTATCTACATTATTTTTTATTTATTTACTATTTTCAATCATGTCATTATTTAGAATTATTCATAATGGATAATTTTTTTTCATTCATGTTCTCACAAAATAAAATAATATTGTAAAAAAATTGATTTTTTTAAAGAACAAATCGAAGAAATTTCAAGCAAGCCATGGATACCAAAATATACAATGCGCTAAGTTTATTAATGTTTGCTCAAATTTCAGATCAAAATAATCATCATTAGGAAGTCTATGTGTTTTCTTTTACAAACAAAATATCTTCAGACAAAATATATATTTCACATTAAATTAGTTAAATCAAAATGTATTACATGTAATATAAAATTTTCGATAAATGAATTCTCATTGCTTTGAAATTAAGTTTTCAAATAATTCTTTTGTGTTGTTTAAAAACTGTCGAGACGAATAAAACATAGATAAAATCGTTTGATTGCTGATATTTTTAATATTTATTTGTGTAATTTTTAATATAGATCTGTGTCATTTTCTGACACTGATTCTGATTACATACGTTAATTAAAAAACGCTTGATTAAAATAATTAGTTTACTTCCTACTTACACATAAATTAAAAAAGATAAAATACCTGGAGACAATTTTGACATTTCATAATTGTAAAATATTATTTTTCAAAGTGATTTTTACATCTAAATTTGGTTCGTAACTTAAAAGGTGATCATCCGAAATGGAAAATATGTGTTAAAAATTTTGAGATCTTTATTGAGTTTCAATAATATATAGTCGAATTCGCCGGTTACAAGTTAATGTCATGAAATCAAATATTTACTTTTGAAGTAAGTTATGACAGCCTCATTATTATAATTCCTGCTAATCGACCTCATTATTTAATCGATGAAACTATCAGTTAGTAAAAGTGTACTAATCGCGTGACGAATTCGTTACTCACTTTTGTGACCATCATAAAAGTGTTTTGTCACCGATCAAGCATAGTGTGGCAATTACAAATTACAGGCATCTAGCGGAACGAATTTGAATTAAGAATCATATAATTCGATAACGAATAACTGCAATATGTAATTATGATATCATTTTTTTTATTTATTATGCATCTGTATATGGGGCATTCCATACCAAATCGGCCACTTTTTTAGGTCGACCTCTCCAATTTTTTTGAAAATTTTATATGTTTTCAATACCGTCAAAGAACACCTTCATGAATTTTTTCAAATTTTTTTGACCACCCGTTTCTGAGATATTGATTTTTTCCAAAATTCAAATTTTTTTTTTGAAAGAGCTATAACTTCGCGAAAAATACAGTTATCGGGGTCCCGTTTTTTTCAAAATTTTTATTTTTTAATGCTCTTTCAAGAAAAAAATACCTCTTTGATCTTCTTTGATTTATTCCTATTTTTTTTTAAGTTTCAAGCAAAAAAAAACATTTTTTCGAAATGTATGCCCCCTTCGATTTTTTTGAAAAAAATTCTCAAGAAAACTTGGACAAATATAGAAAGTTTTTAGACCAATCCGATCGTGGACAGACGTTTTGTTCTATTTTTTTTCTTAATTCAAAAATTTTTTTTTTTCGAAATTGCATGTATTTACTTTTACACTCTCATGCATGTGCTCGGATAGTTATTTTTTCGTACCAGAGAAACAATTTAATAAATATTTTCATTAATTTAGCATTTATTTATTAATTTAATGAATTGGAGTTTATCCGTCACATCAAAATGATTAGCCTCTTTCAAATTCATCATAAACGTATTAAGCGCCATCTTTTGACCACGAGATTGACTAGATTTCTTCCTTATGTAAGTACAATTTTTATGTTGGTTGCATTAGCCTACATTTCGAAAAAATGTTTTTTTTTTTGCTTGAAACTTAAAAAAAAATAGGAATAAATCAAAGAAGATCAAAGAGGTATTTTTTTCAAAAAAAAAAAATTTGAATTTTGGAAAAAATCAATATCTCAGAAACGGGTGGTCAAAAAAATTTGAAAAAATTCATGAAGGTGTTCTTTGACGGTATTGAAAACATATAAAATCAAAAGGAAGAAAGTACTAAGAGTAAATACTGAAATAATTCTTAATTCAATTTTAATGAATTTATTGTAGACACATCAAGGATCGAGTTTTCTCCCGAAATACATATAGTTATTTTGAAAGTAATAAAATTGTGCATAATAATTGAGCCTTCTAAAAATTGAAACTTTGTTATAGTTGATATTGTATTTGCCCGTATGTTTCGATATTATGTATATTTTGCTTATAACAAATATACGAGAGTAAAAATCTTATGGTCACATCAATTTTTAGCTCTATCTCTTCAACTGATTTTTAATTTGGTAATTTTTGATTGAAGATTTCTAGTTTAAAAATGCAAAAATAACTTTTTTTTATTTTTTTGGGTAAACGCGATTATAAAGTTACTTGTAGAATAAATAAGATTGCATAACTTCATGATTGTCTTCTGAATTTTCATTTTTTTTAAATTCACAGCAAAAAAAGATGAGAGACATGGAGGTTGATGGATGTTATATATTAATACCTCTTTCCATGTTCCCGCTTGTACTCGCCGCTGTATTTGGACCTACTGCCTACGAGCTCTATTATCTCAGGTATGCTACTAGCAAAAATGGCCTGTAAATAAAAATAACTGAAGGATTCTATTGTTGATATTACAAATTACATACATGGTAGTATTATTTGTTACGTACACTGAATATTCCATGCCAAAGCTGCCACTATTGAACTTTTAATGTTATTATTTTACTGATAATTTTACAAGATATTGAGCTTAAAAAAGGATCCTCTACTTTTCCACTATCTTGAACTTAAAAAAAGTCTCTTATTTCTTATTGAGGATACGAATCTCAAAAAATTACAGTAATATTCTTACATTTTCGATTTGTACCCATTATATTTTTCAATATCATAGTTTTTAATAGAAAAACAATCCAAAAATAGATCGTAATAACAAATTTTCATTTCAAAACACGGCTTAAAAACTTTGCCACTACTTGGTTATTATATTTTAAAATTGAAAATGTAAACTTCCATCTTTTTTTTTTAATTTTTCAAAATAAATAAACTTTGAAAATTATACAATTTTGTATCTCGAGAAATAAAACTTCAATAAAATCAAAAAGTATAAAGTTCAAAAGCGACCGATTTAACATGTAATGGCTCTATACAAAAATAGATATCTTTACAGAAAAAAAAAGCTTTCATGAATAGTATTAAAGTAAAAGCCCCAATAGATGATCATGTACCAGTATATGATTACTCCATGTATTTGTATACCTATATTTGTGAATATAGATATACAAATACATGGAGTGATCATATACTGGTACGTGATCATCTATTGGGGCTTTTACCTTATAGACGATAATTTTTCTAAATTATAGGTACTTTATTTGTACATTAAATAATAGCTTTCAGTTATGCACGGAAACACTAATATTACTTTTAATGCTTTCCAAATATTTTTTATTCGAAAAAAATAGACGAAATCGTTCAAAACAATTAAGGGAAACATAAAGTAATTGAACTTTGATAAATTTATACTTTTTTTTCAAGAGCAAATGTCAAAAATAACTTGTTTAATTGACAATTTAAATGATAAATATTTAATTACAGTTAATAAAAGTTATTCTTCTGAAAATAAATTCTCGATTGCGAAAGCAGAGATTCATATATTCGAATGTCACAAACAAACACTTTATGTGGATATATTTAGGGCTATGAAACGATCGTTGTCGACAATATTGACGTCAATTGAATTGAACAAAAAATATTTTTTTTCTGCAACACTCGTATATATATTTATGTCTACTTACACGTTGAAAGTAATGTGTAAGTTTAAAACTGACCATCAATTATGTGAATAAACAATGTTCAATCCATATTGAGTATACATCACTCAGTTTCATAGTAAAAATAATTCTGACAATCAATATTGATCAATGGAAATGCTTTTCCAAGCGTGTCCATAAGATAAATAAGACACATTATAGATCGAGACACTGAAAAATTTATGAACAGAGCTAGAGTACAAGTGGTTACTGATAATAAGCAATTTAAAGCAACGGCCAAGTATACAACGAAAAGTTTATAAAAATTTAATTATTAAATAATATTTTCCAATTCATTGATCATCTCTCCATACCAATCTCCCAGCTTTTGTTTAATTATTCCATAAATTGGTTATTTTACAAAATATAAAATTATCGAACTTGGTATGTTTAATTTTATTTTAACAAGCTTAAGAGACAAATATAGCGAAGAGTTAAAAATATAGGATGATAAAATTCAAGAAGCAATTTCAGTCAGCCAAGGCTAATTAATTAATAGAAGCACACAAGTAAAGTAGGGTAATTGAGCATTTCGGAAAATTTTTTATCCCTCTCACATTTTGTATGGGAATAGACTAAATACGTTTATAGTGTATTGTCTTGCCAAATTATAATTCATTTTCATCTCACAGAAGTAATAAAATAATTTTAATTGACTTGGAAACTCATTCAATACATCTTAGACGCACTTAAGTTCTTAGAATTTAAGAATTTATTATTTTTAATGTTTCTTATTTCACTTCAACTTATTTTTTTAAGAAAAAATAATGAAGGTAAGAGCCCCAGTATAGAGCTGCTCATGTACCAGTACCTGCTCACTCCATGTATTTGTATGTCTATATTCACAATTATAGATATACAAATACATGGAGTGAGCAGCTACTGGTACATGAGCAGGTACTGGGGCTTTTACCTTACATTAATTAACTCATGTAAAAATTTTCTAATGTGATCTGATATTCCCATGTATAATTTTTCGCCCAAAGTGTTATAAATCTCCGATAGGGGGGGGGGGCACATGATCATCGAATTGTCTCCGTACTAGAGAGTTAAATACAAAAATAATAATAATAATAATAATTTATTTACTCTTAAGAAGTTTATCTGACATTGACTGTTAGTTTCATCAACTACTTAATCAATTTTTGTTTAATAAACCATTTTAATTTTTTTACACATCTCTAGAAATCATAAAAAACTGAAAAATTATTTTTTTATTCTTATATATAGCCCGATATAGCAATATCAAAAAATGTTTTCACGGAAACTCTGAAGCAAACATTATCAAAAGATTAACGTTACTCTATTACATGAGTATATGAATTGTTTATTTGATAAGTTTCTCAATTCTCCTTAAAAAGTGTTGACTACAAGCATATACATATACACACGCTGACACGCATACATAATCGAGGTTGAAATAAAAACTGATTGGTCTTCGTGGAATGTAAAAATATGATGCGCTAGAGATTTAATTGTTTTTGAAAGCTGAATTCGATGTCACCCCCATCTTAAATGTAAGAAGACTTCAATGATTAATTTTATTATTTTCAAAATAAATTTTTATTATTTTTTTTTATTTCTGTTTCAATACAAATTATTTGTATCCATAGGATATTTCGCGTCCCATAGTAAACCAGTTTGTATTTTAATTATATTCTATTATTTATAATATTGATAAAAAAAAAATAATTTGATTAATGAGAAATAACCTTGAACCGAAGAGATGATTGAAACGAAGTTCCTTATCATATTTTTGTACTAAAATTTCAAATTAATTAAACAGATTTTTGAAATTTAATTACTATCGTTAGACTATTGTTAAGAATTAAACAGAAAATTTTTTTCTCCCCAGCTGTAAAATTCATACTATATACTCATGTAACTGTTAAATAAATTAGTAAAATAATTTAAATTTGCTTGATATAAGAGAAAATCTTCATCACATTTACTGCGATTATTTTATAATTTAGGTATAAATTAATTTGATAATGTATTTCATCAGGAATAATCGTGAATAAAAATTTGAAAGTTTATAAGATCGAAAAGCTCAAGTATACTCGTATTTAAGAGATTAATTTCAAGACCAATTGATTAGAAAATGAAGAAGCAATAATGTTTTCAAGTTCTCTGAACTAGAAAACAGCGGCAAGCTTTAGAACTGATTCGTCGGGTCAACGATTTTTTCAATTTTCTTTTATAAGATACCCTTACATTATATTATTCTTCAGTATTTATTTTCTTTTGAACTTTCACAAAGGTAACATTCTATTTACAGGTTGATTTTTAAAAAAGTCAGAAAAATTTTTATTGAAATAACTTTGATAAAGAATTTTTATAACAGAATAAAGTGATAGCTATTCTATTTATTGATATATGATATGAAAAAATAATTTTTTTGAAGAAAAACAAATTTTCTACAACACAAGTAAAATAAAAGATTTTATAAGAAATTTTTGTTGTTTTGTTAAATTATAGTTATAATGATACTTAATTGTTTACAATTTATGACTTAATTTGAATTATGAAAGTAAAGTCTAATAGTAATACTCAGACAATAAATCAGCTCATATAGACGAGGGACATATCTCACGCGCAGCTTCTCATTTTCTGATTATTGATTTTGGAGATAATTTATTTCACTGTTATTATTGATCATAGTAATTGAATTTTTTTCTCTTTTAACTGTATAACAACGAATAATCTTAACATTGAACAACGACAGCCGTGTTAAGCTACTTAGCAGAAGCGACTGGACGGAAGATGACCGACATACTTGTTTTATTACTGAAAATCTACTAACACGGAAAAAAATGTCTTGTTGAATTTACATCAAACTCCGTTGACATAATAATGAGTGATTACGATAAAAAACAATTGCACCCATTTCTTACATTTATTTTACAATCTAATATTTAAACACTTTTCTATAATTGAATTGGATCAATACTGTCAACCCGGTCAAATAAAAGACGGAAAATCTACAACTTGTACCCCCACTGATTTCTTATATTTTTTTTATAAGCAATTGTTAATTAATGTCGGAAGTTAAGCATATCATTTAGTAATATTTTTCTAACAAAAATTAATTACATTTTTTGCTAAGTTATTAACTTCAGGAAATAACTAAAATATTTTAATTATTAATTATTAATTCTTGAAGAAAATTAGTTTCATTTTGTTTTTTTTAAGTATTCTTAATTAAAAATTTTCTCTTAGTAATCATATTTTCAAAAAAATATATGCTGAATGTAAATGAAGTGAGTAATATTTTTTTAATCACCATTTTGTCCGACAAATAATAGTAATAAATTTTTCTAAGTAATCTTTTTCAAACAATGAAAATAAAGAAATAAAAATAAAAATATTTTTTTGGCTCAACAGTGGCAATTGATACTTGATATCTAACTTATTGCTCTCGAAAATTTAGCTTAAAATCAAAGAATTTATTTCATGAATATCCAATATTAAAAAAAAGTTACAGTTTAAAAAACTGTAAATAATTATGTCAGAATTTTTCAGTAAGTTCAACAATATTTTTTTCGTCTAATTTTTTAAATGAACAACATTTTTGTCCAATAATTATGAAACAATAGATTATAACAACATAAATGAAAAATCATTTAAACTTTGAAAGTTTTTCACCGAATTTACTAATGTATTGTGTAATAAGTTTTTGAAACATATTCCTTCAGAAATTTTCTCCCTCTTTCTCGATAAAAATGTCAACAATAAACATCTACACGTAGTCACACTATCTGCGCAAGTAAAACAGCTGGAAAAGGCATTTCGACGTCAAAGACAAAGCATTGTTGAACGGAATAGTACTTTACTAAAATAAACCAGTACAGGCGTTTAATCGTTATGCCAATCGCTAGGTTGTCGTTGACGGTAAGTGTCATCAGTTTGTGAGTGCGCGAATTTCAATATTCTGCCTAGTATTTCCAGTACTCTTTGTTATAGAAAATATAGATTTTTATCATAATACCTCTAAAAAAGTCAAGTTTCTTCACTCCAATATAAAATATTTCGTCTATAAAAGTAGTTTTTTTTTCTCTTAAGCTCTCGGGCATTAATTACATTTTTCGATTGTCAAATTACAATAAAAAAATTGCAAACTAAAACCTGATCCAACTTCGTTATAAGACCTACTCTCGCCTAGCATGATTATAACTGATCTTTATCAGTTATAAAATTAAACCTCATAAAGAGGTTTAATTTTAGTACACGAAAATTTGAGCAATTTATTATAAATTATTTTTCTGTCTCTATAGATATTTATAAATTTCAGTTTTTTAATTATCTTATTCCACACTGCTAAGTTATTTTTAGCTAAAAAATATCACCACGGAAATTTAACGCTGTATTTATTTATTTACTCAAGAGCATTTTCCTTAAAATAATATTTCTTTATTTTACAAACATTATGCAAATTACTAAAGCAAAATAACTTTAAAAGCATGGTTTCTAATAAAATTATAAATGTATAAAATTTAGTTTCTTATTAATTATTTTTTTGTAATCTGTTCTGTTAAATTTATGACATAATTCAATAAAAAAAAATTATAATTGCAATTATTATTTAGACTACTCGACAAATTGGATATTTTAGTAAGTTAATCTAAATTTATAGTGCATATGAATTAAACTGAATCCGTTAACTTGTTAGCTGCACGCATTGGTTTGTACAGAAAATTAAATTTTCTGTACTAGTGCTAAAAGATAATGACGTTGTCAAAAAACCGCTTGATTATAAGTTACTGTTGATATTATTATTATTTTCACACAGAACATTAGATGTATGTTGTTAGTATGTCAAAATAGATCGTTAATGTCATTAATAAAGAAAAATATTTTTGTCGATATCAATATAATTATGAAATTAGATGGAAAGCTCTTCATTCGATAAACTTTGTGAATGTCAAAAGTTTTAAGTAAAAACAACAACTTAGTTGGTCGACCTCTCTCTTTTTTTGTTTTCTTCATTTTATACTTTACGATAATGAAACTTGCGGAATAAAAATTACTAAATAAACCGATTTAAATGTACACATAAAAAAAAAAATCATTAATATTTGTGTTTTTATTCTCATATATTGATTGTCTCCCGTGCTGCCTTGCTCCGCTCGAGGTGCAGGTCATGTTCGGTTAACCGGTTGGTCCATAAGTAAGAGAATGATCAGGAGATGATATATTTTTCAAACAATCGGGCGTCACACGTGAGCTGATCTTTGTGTTGGCATTAGCAACCATAAACAATTCTAATTAATTGTTTTAATAATTATATCTTATTTTGAATCTATATAATGCACAGCAATCGACGCAAACCCTTTTTGACGAACAACTTCCCTCTCATTTGTTGACGATTTTTGGATTATGCGGTTTCATATGTAAACGAAACGAATTTAGTTTTTATACGTTACTTTTTTTCATTTTCTATTGCGGTTTTCGATACCGCTTCACGACATTTATCAACTTTGTCGTCAATTGACAAATAATAACATTGTTGTCAGATAACTTTTGTTCTCAATTAAATTAACATTTTTTTAAAATTATTTTTTATCTAAAATTTTGTTGATAAATATCATGAATAAAATCCTCATTTGAACGGTGATACTAGGCGAATGAATTCTGCTAAAAATTATTTAAAGTTTGATTATAATCTTAATAATAATGTATATAAAATACTAATTTGCGAATTTATTTTCTCAAAGTACATTATTCTCTCTGATAAATTTCAATTTATACCAGCTTTTTTTATAGCTTTTCAATAAATTCACGCTGCTATAGCTGTTATCTATTTTTCGGCAGTCATGCATACACCATGCATCACCATTCAAACAAAGCATTCATTTCTTGGTATTAATTTAGTTATAGTTTCTAAAAATGTCCTGTGATATCACTGTAAAAATTATTGGATTAATAATTATCAAATTTATCCTTTAAAAATATATATTAATTTTAACTTTCTATAAAAAATAAAAATAAATAAAAAATCTAGCCCATAGGACATTTTTATGGATAATTATAATTAGCAATTTCGTATTGTCAATTCATGTAATTTATTTTAGATGATTTCATTAGTTTTATTGAATTTCTCCTTTAGTTTTTAGTTGGAAAGTCACGTCAATGAACCAGCTGCTAAGACAAAATCAATAAAGACAAAACCACGTGAATTTTACACAGCTCAAGCGCTACGTGTTTAGATGTGGTTTACGTATGCTACACATTTTTTCTTTTATCTAGTAATTTAGTTTATTTAAAAAAAAAATTGTTCTACTGTTTTTATTTGATTTTTTATAAAACGTTTTCTGGAAACGAATTTGTCAAACGCGTATTTTTTTTTTTATTTGAGCAGTATGAGGTGGTGCAATAAAAAACAACTATTTTATTTATTTGAATTTTCTTTTTAAATATGTTAGATTATTTTATACTAAACAAAAAAAAAACATACTGTCCAATTAAAAATGGTGACTACTTAGTAGTAAATTTCCTTTAAAAGATAAAATTTGACCAAAAACTGTTAAAAAATTTAAATTAATAAACGATTAAGGTAGTACCTCCACGAAAAGCATATTTCAAGAAACTTATGGAATTTTTTTTATCGAAAGATAAATATTAGAGTGTATCAGAAAAATCGAATGTTTTTTTTTTTTTTCCAATGAACATTGAGAAATCGTCAGAGTATCTCTAGAAGAAGATCCTCTGAAAATATGAGCTTTTAATATTAATATTTAGAGGTGACGTCATGTAATTTCTATTTCCCATTTAAATAACATAGAAAAATATTCTTTTAAAGTTTGGAATTTTGTAACGTGACAACAAGCTACTTTATAGGTAAAACTAAACCCTTTCCTTATGGGAAATTGATAATGCTCTACAAAAAAGGTCTGATTGAAATTTTGCGCAAGTTAGTATGAAATCTTCCGTACCACTCGAGTGATGCAAATAGATTTCATACTAACTTTACCATCTCTCTATACCTCTACGTGTAAAAGATGCAATTTCGAAAATTAATTACTCAAAAATGGTGCGGTCAATTGATCTGAAATTTTGGTGGTGAATTATTAATATATTTATCTTTCGATAAAAAAAATTCCATAAGTTTCTTGTAGTATGCTTTTTGTGGAGGTACTACCTTAAAAAATAAAAAGTTTTGTTTCCATAAACTTATTTTTATCGTCGATTTTGAGAGCATGCGCATTGACGTGACCTCTAGAAATAAAATAATCTATTCAAGATGAATTGACAAGTACTCGTGTTAGCAGAGCATGTAAAACGAACGACCAACGTTTACCTCAATTATTAATTTTAGCGGAATCTCTCATTGCCAACTTTAAAAAACCCGGTAATCATTGTATTGGTCCAGTGAATATTGATCCAATTACCGTGAACTTAACAGATTTTTATGGGTACAGTTTTAAATTTAAAATACCTGATATAGATGTGACAAAATTTTATTTCTGTAAGATGAAGGCGAAATCTAGATCAACAGCTCACAGATATAGTAAAGATAGAGAAAAGACTAGTCAATTACAGAATAAGACTCAACAGTCTATCAGCACATTAACATTTAAAGGACGCATGAATATGCAATTTTCTGCGCATTGTTTAGCTTAAATTAACTTAATTACAGATAGAACACCTTATATTTCAACTTTAAGCAATGTACAGGTCAACTTGGTACATGGACCAGTTGTATACTTGGTATGGACCAATTTCAGGTGGATCGGTACAAAGATAACCAAAGAAGCTAGAATGAAATATCATTTAACCAAACTTTTATAAGTATTGTTTGTCAGTAACATGTTTAGAAAAGGGCTACGAAAATAAGGCCAGTAAAGAAGGAAATGAGTTTAAAAAAAAAATTAGAAATTTTACACGGAAATTTAAGGACATAAACGAAAAATCTACAATAAAGGCTTGAACAAAAAAAAAATTGAAAGATCGTTCGTTCTGCAAGCTCACGAGATAAATCCTGAAAAAAATTCCTGTTGTGATTTTTACGATATCGTATTATTTAGTTTTGGTTTTTTAATAGAAAATTATGCTGAAAAGTAAAGTACTTGATTCAAGGAAATTATTTTAAAGAAGACCGGTTGTCTTAATTAAGAAATTTGTTGTCTTGAAACTCACTTTCTTAGCTTGAGAAATTCTATATTTTTAAGAATATAATAATAAATCTGCCAAAAACGCGAACCAAAAAATTATTATTAAGAATTTTATATACTTGGCTCTCAAAAAAGTTTCGAAATTCAAAATTGTAAGAATGAACTTCAATAAAGAAAAACAAATTTTATTTAAACCCATTCTGAAAAGTACTTAAATACTCAAGAATTATTTCTGATGATATTAAAAATAACTTTAGGAAGAAATTTTAGGGTGATTCGAGTTGAAATCTTAGGCATTGATTGAACCTACATGAACCTACTTTTTTTCAAATTTTCATCTCCATAATTCTTTAATTATTGCTTAATTACTTTACTGTAAATCCAATTTAGTTAACTTTAAAGTTCAAAGCTATGTAGGTTTAATTAAATCATTTCATCTGTCAAAGAAGTTGATTTCAGATTGTATATTTAAATAGTTCTAATTGAAATAAATGTAGATCATCTTGTTCGAAAACAGTAAAATGATGATTAAAATTCTTGAATTAAGAACTTTTTCTCTTTATCCAAAAGTTTTATTTTGTTGATTTGAGAATGAATTTCTTAAATCAATTCAAACTGAATATTTTGAAACAAGAATGTAATTTTGCAAATAATATTTTCCATGAATCAAGGAGTTTCGTGTATAAATAAAATGTTCGAAAACTATAGTTTTTTACTAATGAAAAATTGTGAAAAATTTTTAAACTGGAATTTTTTTGCTTTCCTTGCTCGATAATTGAGCATTGAAAATTGATAAAAAATAAAAAAAAATGACTGTATAAAGAAGAAAAATAAGAAAAGTATAGATATTAAGTAAATTTAGGAAAGACAAATATAATAGATTTATAGATATTTATATATACGTTGTAATTTGGTGGCGTAAAAAATTATGATAAAATGAACTTACCAAACCGACGAGTAGAAAAAATACTAGGAATGTACGGCCGAGAATGGTATTGCAGTAAACATCACCGTATCCTACCGTTGACATTGTGACGATCAGAAAATAAACGCATGTCCAATAAGATAGTGGTTGCGGATTTGCAAACTCGAAAGGGTCCCCTGAGTTTTCAAGCTGCAATTATCGAGTGATAATAAGTATGAAGAGAAAATTTTAATTGAAAAAGAAGAATGATAAATCCAAACATAAAGAAAAACTGAAAATAAAAACAAGCACAAAAGAACGGATCACAACAGAAATGTTCAAATACAAGACAATAAAACACTTTTGTTATAAAGACAAAAAAATGATAGAAAAAATAAAGTAAAGTGTGTCTTAGTTTTTAGTAGTTTTTCTTCATTTTACCAAATGAATGATGCCAGCAGCAGTAAGCCAAACAGAAATGAAGATGGAGACGAGTTGAGCGAGACGAATGGAACTCGATGTCTTTAGAATGTTGAGGTACTGAAGAATATCCGGAACTGTCATCAGTCGTAGGGCTCGAAGAAACCTCAGTCCGATCCATGTTCGGTCCAAATAGATCGATACGAAAGACGGTGGTATCGTAAAGTAGTCAACAAACGAGTACATCTCCAGCATGAACCACAGCTTGTCACTGGCGGCGATAAACTGAAACATTGGTTTATCCATAAGTATTGTACTAAAAGACTTAAATATATATTAATTAAAATAATTCAACTCTCTTAAGGTAGTACTACCTTAATGTGAAGCATTTGAAGTTGTGCTTTATTCTCGATTTGTCAAGATTAAGCAATTTTTCTATCTTTTCTCTTACTAGAGAAAGAGATATAAAAGGATTACCTCAACGCAAAATTTATATCTATGTAGTATTAAAATCGAATTATTATTTCAAAAATTTAATATATATATAAATATATATATAAATATATATATAGGGGAGGGGGGGGAGGCAAAATGGGGTACTTAAGCAATCGTTATGATTTTAAGGACTTAAATACGCTGATTTTTCTCGTTTTCAGTCGTAATTAAAGGAAAATAATCAAATTTCAAGTTGCCGTAGAAAAAAAAATTCAAATATATGCCATTTCTCGTGAAATCGTGAAAATGATTTTGATATTTTCTATTTCTGATATTTTAAGACCGCAGATAATTTTTAATAATTGATGAGTTTGTTTCAGCCTTTTGATGGTTGATTTAACGATATGTTATTCGAATATTTGTTATATTAAAGCAAAGAATAACTAAGTAAAAATATGAGGATCGGAACTAAGCCAGGACTCGAACCTGGATTTTCACGATTGAATGCCGGTTAAATAATCATAATTTTAAATTTATCGACTGTTTTCACTCATTACATAATATCTTCAATTTTTGACGACTTCGCCTGATATGAAATGGATTGCATAACAACAGAATATTATAAAAATTGAGTTTTTAAATTCGTTTAAACAATTTAATAAAAATGATCAAGTAATTAAAAATAATCTAACTCTGGGCGCTGGTGGTGTGCAACATTTAAGACTGAATCTTTGATATTATAACTCTCTTTTTTCCTTAAATAACTCATCAGTCACGTAGGGCGAAAATGAAGTAAAAAAAATTAACGGAAAAGGATTAAAGGTATTATTAGCAAAAAGCATAATTGAAGTATTTAAGGCACTAAGCGAAAAGTGCATTAAGAGCTTCGGCAGAGAGGATGTAGTGGCTAGATGGTATCAAATAAATTTAATTAATTACATGGTCGATGGAAGTATAGAGAGGTAGAGGGATATACTGAGTGGTAGATCATGTTACTGGCTGTAGTAGAGATAGGAAAAGATGACAAGTTTTATAAGTATATAAAACCGAGAAATAATTCACCTGAACATTCCACTGTGCTCCGGGACCGCAGGGTCTCCTTTCAGTCCCTTGCCAATGAATGCTCCCCTGGGGCATCCTGCACGCTCCTAAAACTTTAATTGACAATATATACCTTCATTCGGAACAAGACCAGTGATAAGTTTAGATATTTATTTATTTTTTATTTTATTAAACGTGCTTAGTTTGAGTCCTAGTGCAGTAAAACAGTAAACTTTTAAGTTGCCTTTCGGTTTATTACTTTATGTGTGATATTTAATTAAATTAACAATCTAATTTTCATTTGTATACAATCTCAAAGTTCCTTTGATCAATTCATCCTTTTTGTTTACGAGTGATGGGGTATTAATTATATATACAAAAGAATTCTTGGAATGTTTTACTCTGAAATGTATAACAAATTACTGAGTAATTAGTTTATGCTAAAAACTCATAAAACTTTTATTCCAGTTTGCTTTGTTAGAAAAGAAAAAAATTAATTAATTTATGTTTAAATTTTTAGTTCTTTGTTAAAATTTGTTTTTCTGCCCTCCGGCCGGAAAGTGGTAACTTTCTGGCCGCTGCGCTAAACAAAGTTGCCACGTTCCGGCTACGTCGAGCAGAAAAATAGTATACACACCTTGGCCAGTAAAAAGTAAAGCCTCAGACCACATGTTTGTCAACCTCGGCTTCGCCTCGGCCAACAATTACATGTGGTCTGAGACTTTTCTTATTTTACTGGCCTAGGTATGTAATATACTATTTTTGCGGCGCCAAAAAAAATTCTTCCTTGGGACCAGAAACTACGGTAAAAATTTTGCTTTTTGATTTTAAACAAAAAGAACATGTGCCGACGGGCAATTGAAGTTCTTCAAATGAAGATTTTTCGATAAAATTATAGTTTTTTGAAATATTTGTTACGGTATTTAAATTCGGACAAGAAATCATGAAAACAAGCTAGTAGGAAATTAAATTCTCTACAAAAGCGTTTCTTTCGGTTTTAGATGAAATTCATATCTATCGAGATAATCTTATTAGTGAACTTATCAATAGTGGTGGCACCTGAAAAAACATGGCGACCCCCGTGACAAAAATTCTACTACCGTTACCCCTTAAGTCAGTGATTTTAGCACTAAAAACTTTATTTTTCCAGAAATATGAACAATTTTACAACTTCTAATCACAATTAGTTATTTAAATAGCTCTCGCAAATGATAACAAAGTTATAGTTGATATTATTTCCTTATTTTCAAAACGAAAATGCGCAAATTTATTTCTCATAAATTGATTTATCAATTCCAAGGTTTTAGTAAGCATTCTTTTGTATTTTTTATGTTTCGAGCTCTGTAATCATCGTATTCGTGCACAAATTCATCGGGTTCGTGAACAAATCAGTGTATTCTTGCATTAACTTTACACCACGTTCAGCAACATCGTTCACAACTGGTAAATTATTTACAGCGTTCAAACAGATCTGATAATTTATATTTTCTTGCTAGTTTTCACAATCGATTTACAACTTCTAAACAAAAAACTGTTTGGTGGCATTATTCGATGACGGTATTGATAAAGAAACGAAAAAACAAATGGTTCAAATATTGTTCGATACTTCTAATGATGAACTTAATTCTTCAGATGACAGTCAAATCTATAATTCAAAAAAATTGGTAATAGCTGAAAAAGATGTATCAAAATTATTTGACCAAGGATTAGAACAGTTCGTTAATCCTTTTTCAATTAATTTCTTTCTTAAACTGGGTTTAAATACAACTTGGTTCATGATGGTTCATACAACTTGGATCAGAAGCGGTTTATTATTCAAATTTTGGATAATTACAGAGCTCGAAACATAAAAAATACAAAAGAAATCTTACTCAAACCTTGGAAATGATAAACCAATTTATGAGAAATAAATTCGAACATTTCCGTTTTGAAAATAAGGAAATAATATCAAATATAACTTTTTTATCATTTGCGAGACCTATTTAAATAACTTATTGTGAATAGAAGTTATAAAATTGTTCATATTTCTGGAGAAATAACGTTTTTAGTGCTAAAATGACTGACCTAATGGAGTTTATGAGTTTATTTATAAGATTATCTCGATAGATATGAACTTCATCTAAAACCAAAAGAAACCCTTTTGTAGAGAATTTAATTTTCTACAAGCTTGTTTTCATGATTTTTTGTCCAAATTTAAATACCGTAACAAATATTCCAAAAAACTATAATTTTATCGAAAAATCTTCAATTGAAAAACTTCAATTGCCCGTCGGCACGTGTTCTTTTTGTTTAAAATCAAAAAGCAAAATTTTTCCGGTAGTTTCTCGTCCCAAGGAAGGATTTTTTTGGGCGCCGCAAAAAATTTAATTTTTAACGACCACCCTAATATATGGGGCATTCCATGCCAAATCGACCACTTTTGAACCCGACCCTTTTCGATTTTTCTAAAATTTCGGTATCTTTCTCTACCCTATTGAAAACAATAGAATTTTTTATTGTTGATAGAATTTTTAGATACGAAAATAATAAAATACGAAAAAATAATTCAATGTTTCTTTTAATTTTTTATCTAACTTTATTGAAAATGAATCAAATGTTATCGATGATTGTCACTTTCAATTTTTGTTTTTATTTTTTTTTCTAAGATTTTAAAGTTTCCAAAATCTGCTAAAAAAATTTGAAAAAATTCTGAAAATTGTTTTTGCAGATAACGCAAGATAATGAGATAACGAAGAGGGAAATTGGAAAAAAAAATTTTCTTGCAAGATAACGAAAAGGGAAATTGGAAAAAAAATTTTTTTCGACGATTTACAATGAAAATACAGAAAAAAGTTTTTTTTTTAATGTATTTTAAATGGGAAAGGGGTCCCCCCCATGCGCCAGCTCAATTTTCAAGATATCAAGCTCATCTTTTAGGAGGTTTTTTTTGGTCTAACAAAGAAACTTTTTAGATGTATTTACTCAAAAAAAAAAAACTTTTTTTATTCTGACGCAGTCTAATATATATATAGAATTAAGAATGTTAATTTTTCGATTTTTGATAATAAATAATTTGGTTCCATAGAAAAACTGCGAATTTTTGAAATCTATCTTCGATAATGCTTAAACATCGTATAATACACGGAGAGAACAAGACTACACTGGATAACATTCCAGATTATACTCAGTGACATCTGTAGTGAAAAAAATTTTCAAATGGTAGCTAATATAATCCAAATTATACTGAATGATACCTGGATTATACTCATTGTAATCTTCCATTCCCCCCCAGTAAAATCTCAGAATATACTACGTAAGATTCCACTGGATATAATTCGAGATTGTATTCTATACACGGAAAGAAAATTGAAGGAATTTTTACTATTTCACTATTGTAATTTTTGTTAAATTAAATAGTAACGGTGGACTATACTTCTCATTTAGTAATTTTTACGATCTACTATTGTAAATTTTATCCAACAAACAAGGCTAGTAAGAAACTTAAAAAGTTAAATAATATCGAGCAAATTATACAATATGTGTTTGTAAACTTTACAATTCAACTATTGTAAAAATTGACAGTCGGTTTTTTTAAAAGAAATTTTAGGGAGGGAGAGAGATACACTGAAATAGTATATTACATACCTAGGCCAGTAAAATAAGAAAAGTCTCAGATCACATGTAATTGTTGGCCGAGGCGAAGCCGAGGTGAACAAACATGTGATCTGAGGCTTTCTTATTTACTGGCCAAGGTGTGTATACTATTTTTCTGCTCGACGTAGCCGGAATGTGGCAACTTTGTTTAGCGCAGCGGCCAGAAAGTTGCCACGTTCCGGCCGGAGGGCAGAAAAAAAAGTTTCCTACGCTTCAGGATACAGTATCGCTACACGGAGAGAAATGGATGGCGTTTAACACTATGTCAGTATGGTCTCCAGACCGATACTAAAATAGTATGTGTAATATTGCGATTCAGTATTGTAACGAGTCCCATAAGTATGGCGTTATTTACTATGTAGTATAGTAATGATGCTATTGTATATTTTACACGTATGCATAGCAGGCTTGGCAAGACAGTATGGTCCTGAGACCCATACTATATTGCTGATGACGCAAGGGTACTAGCGGTTCCCGCTATAATTTTTGGCGTGTTAAGCAATTAAACTCTTGTGTTACCACCAAAACAACACTGACGGAAAGATTTGTTTTTATTTAATAAGCTTTATTAACTGTTAATAAATGATTTTGTAACATCATAGGATTTAATAAATATTTATTAAAAGTTAAAAAATTATTTATTAAATACGATTTATTAAATGTTAATAAATATTTGTTAAGAGTTAACGAATATTTATTAACAGTAAATAAATATTTATTAATGGTTAATGAATATTTGTTAACTGTTAACAAATATTTATTTAAAATAAAAAACAAAAATAGTAATTTTCTTTTGACACTTCTTATGATTCTATAGCTGAAATACATGATAATAATTCAATTCACTAAATAAATTAACGATTTCAATATTTAAAAATATAAAAGATAATTATTAGCTGTGATAGAATTTAGTATTTTATAATAAACGTTAATATAATGTAATATAATTAATACAAATAATTTATAAAGATGATTTTTGTTTATAAACAATCTTCATATCATATGACATTACAAGGGAAACAAATTTACTCAAAAAAATATTTATCAACTGTTAATAAATATTTGTTAACTATTAATAAATAATTATTAACTATTCATCAATGTACTTTCCTCCCAAATAAATATTTATTAAATGTTAAAAAACATTCATTAAAATTTAATAAATTAAATAATTGTCTTTAAATAAATTAAATTATTAATAGTTAATAAATCCTTCTATCAGTGTATATAAGGTAAAAGACCCAGTTATTGACACTGGCCTAGTTATTCACACTTGAAATTTTATTTTAATTAATTAAAACAAATCGACTCTAATATTGTCGTAACATTACTTGTAACATTAATTGTCAGAAAATATAATTTAAAAAAAAAAGTATTTAAATCTGTTGACCTTGGAGGCTATTCCAGTGATTTCCTGTTCCTCTTAAGATTCTTATCAAATTTTATATCTGCAGGAACTGTAT